TGTGCGTGTTATGGAGTGAATGCCTACAGATGGCGGGGGGGATCTGCTGCAGTCGTGAGCAGAGGATCCATGGTTCCCCTTCCTTCCCTCCTCCATGGCTCGCTTTGAAACAGCAGAGGGAGGGGCAGAGACCCTGCGTGCTTTAAAGGAGCAAAGCGGGAGAGGAGAGGAGCCGCTTACACGAGTGTAAGCGGCTCCTGTCCAGTTGGCTCCTTTAAAGCAAGCAGGGTCTCTGTCCCTCTCTCCTCCCCACTCAGGTGGCTAAATAGCAGCAAAGTTTTTCAGCGAGCTGGGCAGGAGGGAGAAGAAGCAGAGCCTGCTTGCTTTAAAGGAGCAAAGCGGGAGAGGAGAGGAGCCTTCTCCTCTTATACCCCTCTTCTGCATTATTAACAGCATCCTTCTCCACCCACCCCACGCGTGCTCCTTGTCCCTTGAGTGCTTTTCCCTTCCCTCCCCACTTAAAAATGTGGTTACAAAGCACGGTCCACATGGATCCTCAGGATTTTTGCATTGGGCTACCCCAAACTCACCGTCAGATCACATGTCTGTGGCCACAGCATGAACCACAAAATCATACATCCACTGTTTCGTTTAGAATATTTTTTTTCTTGTTTTCCTCCTCTAAAAACTATGTGCGTGTTATGGTCGGGGTGCGTGTTATAGGAGCGAAAAATACGGTTAAGTTCTCTTCCTGCTCTTTATGCTGTGAACTGGCCTGGGATCTACAGATGAGAGGTGGTATATAAATGGAATAAATAATACCAACAATGATAAAGGCAGCCTTCCTCCCCACTCTAGTACTTGGATTGGTAGCAGTAGAAATACTGCCTTTTACTCTTAAAGAGTAGGCCAAAGGATCTCTGATCTGAGTACTAAGCTCTATCATTGGAGATAACCTCTCTGCCTGCTTGCAGAGGGGTTATCTCCAGTTTTAGTGCTGTAGTGCTTACTGTCAAGATGGGAAGATAAAACCCCTATCTAAAGAACCCGCAGAGGGATCTTTCCCTGCCACCGCCACCAGCAATGGAGGGGTGGTTTTGCATGTGTGCCTGCATCATATCTGGTGTGCAAGAGTTTATATGACTCTGTGCACGTACGTGTGTGTGTGTGTGTGTGTGTGTGTGTGTGTGTGTGTAAAGGAGAGTGCTGTGTGCGCTGTGCTTGTGTGTTCCTGTCAACGGGGCGAAATCAAGGAGCATCCATGGGGGGGGGTTGCTTTGTGGTTTTTGCCCCTGCTTACGTTTGTCATGTCCACCAAAGCAATGTGGCCTCCTGTAAGGTTGGGCAAATTCCAATTCATCGCTCATGCTGAAATCGATTCCCCACCCCTGCTGTACAGTTTCTTCATTCAGCCAGCACCTGTACACAAAAACTCTAGATGTATTCAAATCATTTAATTGCAATTACTTCACAAGTTACATAACTTCTAAAACAGTGTGCTGAAGGATGAACTGCCTGATAAAAATGGTATCTGCAGGAGGCCTTTCTTAAAAATCATAGAATTGTAGAGTTAGAAAGGATCCCAAGGATCATCTAGTCCAACCCTTTACAGTGCAGGAATCTTAACTATTATTAAGTAGCTTATTAACTAGATAAGAAAGGTAAAGGTACCCCTGCCCGTTCGGGCCAGTCTTGACAGACTCTAGGGTTGTGCGCTCATCTCACTCTATAGGCCGGGGGCCAGCGCTGTCCGCAGACACTTCCGGGTCACGTGGCCAGCGTGACGAAGCTGCATCTGGCGAGCCAGAGCCGCACACGGAAACGCCGTTTACCTTCCCGCTAGTAAGCGGTTCCCATTTACCTACTTGCACCCGGGAGTGCTTTCGAACTGCTAGGTTGGCAGGCACTGGGACCGAACAATGGGAGCGCACCCCGCCACTGGGATTCGAACCACCGACCTTTCAATCGGCAAGCCCTAGGCGCCGAGGCTTTTACCCACAGCGCCACCCGCGTCCCTATATTAACTAGATAATTCTCTGTAAATAACTCTGCAGAGAGCCACGGCAAGTCAGAGTAAACAGTACTGGACTACACTCTGACATATAGCCTGACTCATAGGAGCCAACTCCTAGGGGCCGAGGTTCCTTCGTCTCCCCCCCCCCCACTGCCAATAAAATATCAACCTCCCCAAAGTTGAGGGGCATTGCCATTCAAACAGGGTGTGTGCTTACCTGCCCCCTGCCATTTTATTCAAGTTAGTACCCCTAGTCTAACTCCCTTCTCTTGTGGGGGCCCAATTAGTGCCATTGCCTTCCGTTAAGAGTTTGGGTGTAATCCTTGACACCTCCCTTTCCATGGAGGCGTGGGTTACAGCAACAGCCAAGGCAACATTTTTCCACCTTCGCCGCATCAAGCAGTTGGTCCCTTACCTTTGCCACCCCGACCTGGCCACAGTGATCCATGCAACAGTCACCTCCAGGCTTGACTACTGTAATTTGCTCTATGCGGGGCTGCCCTTGAAACTGTCCCAGAAACTCCAGCGGGTGCAGAATGCTGCAGCGAGGCTCCTCACGGGGTCCCTGCCATGGGAGCATATTCACCCAGTGCTTTACCAGTTGCACTGGCTCCTGGTGGAGTATAGGGTCAGGTTCAAGGTGCTGGTTTTGACCTTTAAAGCCCGTTGTGGCTTAGGGCCCTCGTATTTACGGGACCGCCTCTCCTGGTATGCCCCGCAAAGGACCTTAAGGTCCACGAATAACCATAATTTAGAGGTCCCAGGCCCTAAGGAAGTCAGACTATCCTCCACCAGGGCCAGGGCCTTTTCAGTGAAGGCTCCGACCTGGTGGAATGCTGTGACCCATGAGACTAGGGCCCTACAGGATTTAACCTCCTTCAGTCGGGCCTGTAAGACAGAGCTATTCCGCCTAGCCTTTAATTTGAATCCAGCCTGATCTTTTATTTCCCTTCTCTTCCCTCCCCCTCCCCTTTTATGAAGATTACCCGCTCTCAGACCCCACAACTAATTCTCCCCTTGTAGCCTTATGAGGCTTTGCCCTCGGGTGGGAAAAATATTGCGCCTGGGAAAGGGAAGTGGGAGTCAACAGACACTCAAGGAATAGTTTCGGAGAAAAGGCTTTTATTTCTACCATCCATGAACTGGTAGAAGGAGCAAGTGTGATAGTCCACAAAAGCTTGCACGAAGTTCACAGTCATGTGCACAAGCATATATACCCCTTTCTAGTTCCCTCCCCCTTTCTCCTCCCTCAGGAGTCCTGCCCCATGTTGAGGTTCCTCTGAGCATGTACAGAAAGCTGTCTTGGGACTATTGTGGACTCTTGGCAGGAAAGGGGGTGAGGGGGTTTTCAGAGTGTTCCCGTTGTTTCATTCTTGTGCTTTGGCATGGTTCCCAGAGAGAAAGCAAGTTGCAATGTGGTTCTGAGAAAGGCCTGAGAAGACAATGTTCTCTACCTTGTTGCAATCTTTTTAGTTACAGCAAGCAGAATGTTTCTGATGCTTAGCTAATGCCTTTTAGCTGCTGAGAAAAATGATTTTGAAAAACTCTGAGAAGCTTTGAGCCTGCTTTGGTGGGGGGTGACTTCGGGCCTAGGTGAGGTCACCTGTCCTCACCTTCCTTCACCCTGGCCTCCTAGCTGGCCCCCTCGCTGGCCCAAGTAGGACTAAGTCAGCCAGCCCTGGTGACTATCTAATGTTTATTGGATGGATTTTCCCCAAATTGATTTTTGAACTTTGAATTTTATTGTCATTCATGCTTTTATACTATATTTTATGCTGCTTCCATGTTGTATTACAATTAGGTGTTTTAAATTTGTTGTTAGCCGCCCTGAGCCCGGTTTTCTGAACCTGGAAGGGCGGGGTATAAATATTATTATTATTATTATTATTATTATTATTATTAACTTGCTATAACTACATAAGAAATTCAGCTGATGATGCTCCCCCAACCGTTGCACTTCCGGGAAAGAGAAAGGTGCACCTGTTGGGCTACAGCCTGCAACGCGAAAACCCCAGAGCAGGATCGCTGATAGGTTGCGAGCTACCCTCGCGGAGCGACCGAGCCCTGGCCGCCGGCTCATGGGCACCTTTCGCGTTTTCGACCTGCTTCGGCTTAGCCCGGCAACTTGCAGAGAGTCCCTTCCCCGGGCATGCAACTCGGGAGCAAAGCGAGGGCCGAGGCGCGCATTCGCCGCCGCCGCTGCGTTGCAGGAGGGCAGGGCGGAGGCGGATCGGGAAGATCCCTCGCTGCCCGCTCTTGCCTTCTCCCTCGTGGGAAGCCCGTCCTCTTCCTTCGTGCGGAGACCCCCGCTCGGGGAGAGGGGAGGCCGGGCTGGCGCGCCACCGTGGCCACGCCAGGATGCAGCTGCGCGGTCACGGCGCGCCGAGCGAACCCGGGAGGGGATGTGGGTGGGGCAGAGACCGGGTTTCTCTGCTCCAGTTCCTGAACTGCGCGAGTAGCCCTTTGCACTGATTCGGGAATTTAGCGACGTCCCCTTGCCTGGAGAAAAGTGGGTTTGTTATGGTCTCTCGCTGGGCGCCTGGAACAGCCTGACGCTGCAAACCGGAGCAGGTCTCCCCGAGCAAGTGTGCAGTTGATCTGGAGAGGGGAGACGCCGGGAAAAGCTGGCCCCAAAAAGTGTCTCCGGCGGCCGTCCTTCGGGAAAGCGTCCTTCGATTTCACGCCGGTGCGGGAGGGGCAAGCAAGATCTCGGCTACCTTTTTTTCCCAGGTAGGGAGCAATTCTTTTGCAGCCTGGTCCTTTATTATTATTATTATTATTTGCACGACTTCTGTGACCGGGGGACTGCAGCGTCTCGTGAAGATGCGCGCAGAGCAGCCCGCCTCGGGTGGTGGAGATCCCAGAGGGGTTGGAGGAAGAAGGGAAGGTTTATGTGCGCATATATTTCCAAATCACGAGGCAGGAATGGCTTGGGAGGCCGTCAGGATCCGTAGGAAACCACCACCACCGACCTAAGCTAGCCATGGGGATGTGTGTTCTCCTTAGGGTCCGCGTTGCTGTGGCGAGAGATCCCATGGGAAAGGAGAGGAGGGGCTTTGCACTGGGGGCGGGGGTGGTTTGTCTGCCTGCGATGATCTGAGGAACAGACTAGGGGAATCTCCTTTTCTCGCGGACCCTGCTTAGGCTTGCAAGCAGCGGCGAAGATGGGGTTGCAGTTGTAGGGCAGGAAGCCTGAAGAAGCCCCCAGCCAAAGAGTAGGGCCTTTGGGCCTTGTTTTTGGTCTGGTGGCGACATCTGTACAGCCACAGTCTGAAACAGGATGGGCACCACCAGTGGCGTAGCGTGGGGGGTGCAGGGGGTGCGGCCGCACCGGGCGCAACATCTGGGGTTAGGGCAAATCCACGGGTTAGGGGGCACAAATCCACAGGTTAGGGGGCGCAAATCCACGGGTTAGGGGGCGCAAATTACTTGCCTTGCCCCGGGTGCTGACAACCCACGCTACGCCGCTGGGCACCACAGAAAGGGCATGGAAATAAAAGCAGCTTCAGAAAGGAAAGAGATGCACATGTGTATGGTTTTAAAATAAAATAAAATGTGAGTGGGCCTACTTGCTCCTTTATTGGAACTGTGGGGTTAGCCTTGTGCTGACTTTTGATGAAAGAATGAAAACCTTGCCCCTTGCATAAGTTTGGCAGAGTGATCTTAAACTACAATTTCTAAATGGTAATAGATTCTGTGCCAGCTGTCTACGTATTTATGAGGCACCTGTGCTGACATTTGAGGCTTAAAGCTGCAGTCCCACTTACCTGGGAGAACGTCCAATTTAACTCAATGGAACATACTTCTGAATAAATGGCTTGCACCCAAATATCTGAAAGAATGCCTCCTCTGTGGGTGTCAAGATCAGCAGTGGGGGCGGGTTGGGGGCACTGCCCTCAGGTGTTTGGGGTGTTGGCCCAGGAGAGCATTCTCGGTGGCAACCCCTAAATTATGGAATTTCCTCTCCACATTGGTACGTCCAGTACCTTCATTATGTAGGTTGCATGAAGATGCACCTCTTACCCTGGCCTTTTGACTCCTGGTATTGTGTGTGTGTGTGTGTGTGTGTGTGTGTGTGTGAGAGAGAGAGAGAGAGAGAGAGAGAGGGAGAGGGAGAGAGGGAGAGATACACATTTCAAGACCTACTGCATTCTTTTGACTGTAGTTTATTTTGAACTGTTTTTAATATTTAATATTAAAATTGCTGCAAACCATCCTGGGATGGATAAGAAATCTAATGAGTAATAAAATAAATAAAGACATGTATAGGATTGTACTATAAGCCTCAGGTACTATTTTGAAGGCATTGACTCAGCCCTGGAGTATATTAGCTAGTGATAGAAAGGGCAATACATTTCTGTCACAAACAGCTAAGTTTCCCCACGTTAGGAAGGGCAAGGCTTCCAATTTACAGACTATGCCTTATACGCAGGCCTGATCATCACAATCTCCTTTTTCCTCTCTTCTTTTTTAAAAAGAAAGTAAGCACTGACAGAGGCCTAGTTGGGTGTCACCATTTTTGACTGCAGGTGTTGGGCTTGAACAATTTAGTGCTCCTCCCTTCAAAAACAAAAAGCATCTCAGAGGGAGAAGACTCAAATAGAACGCTTCTCCATGACTTCTAGTTTTTTGCATGGAGGGATTTAAAAAAAAAATTTGGTATGGAAGAACAATCCAACCTGTGAGATCCTCACATGCCCTCTGAAGTAGTACAGCTCAGACACAAGTTTACAATAATGGGAAGAATTTGACAAATCTATACCTAATCCTTAAGCATAACTATTACTGCACTAGTTGAGCTGCAGAATGATCTAGGACCTTTGCTTTTATATGCTGATTTTTTTAAAAAAATGCACTGATTTTTTAAAAAATGCACTGATTTTTTAAAAAATGCATTGAACTATAGGAGAGGAACTCCCAAATGATGAATCGGGATCTCCTGCCAGCTGTGGAAACTTTTTGAGATGATAGGCTGTGATCCAGGAATTTTCATTTCAGGGACAATGGTGGGAAGTTAGTTCAGTACGAAGGTAAAATTTTCACAGTGGTGACCTATAAAAGGAATTTTCAAAACCCACTTTTGATTTCAGAGCACATAACACCCTGCTGTACTACGCTTATAATACCTGGAACTTATATTGAACTATTTGTCTCTCTCAGTACTGCCTTTTTAATGGATGGTCACAGGTGCTTTAGTTGAGATTCCTGCATTGCAAAGGGTGTGTGGATTAGATTGCCCTTGGGAGTCGCATCCAACTCTGATTCTATAATCATGAGGACACATAATGCATTTTTGAGGGAGTCCTGTGGGCTTCCCTGCCTCTGTTCACTTCTCTCCCTCAAATCACACACACATCTGAGAGACAGAAAAAGAGAAAGCATGTGCACACATATTTCACTTTTCCAAGAGATTGGGGTAAAATTCAGATCTAGTAGAATTAATCTGAGCCTTAAATAGAACATGAGAGCTGAAAGAGGAAGTAGGGAAGAGTGCCACTCTTACAGCTTCCTCCCGCAACTCTATGTACTTTTCAAGGGAGAAAAAGGTAACAACCCTCATCATCTCACAACCAAGAGAGCAGTGAAGGGGAGGGTCCCTCAGAGACTCTGTAGGAGTCAGGAGAAGGTGTTGAGGGTGCATCTGCATGCTCACGACCCCTGGCCTGCTCTGACTGGCTGTTCCTCTACAACAGGCTTAGGCAACTTCGGCCCTCCAGATGTTTTGGCCTACAACTCCCATGATCTCTAGCTAGCAGGACCAGTGGTCAGGGATTGTAGTCCAAAACATCTGGAGGACCAAAGGTTGCCTATGCCTGCTCTACAAGGACCAAGGCAGGAGTCCTTTCCATCTTTTAAACTGGAGAAGCCAAGGATTGAAGTTGGGACTTTCTGTTGATGCTCAGCTATTGATCTACGACTTTGCCCCTACGATCACCCTGTTGTTCATAACTTCTATATCCTTGTATGACGGCCCTAATCATGAGTGCTTTGTGAATGAATTCTATGACTGCTGGAACGGGAGTAGCTTCTGCACTGGGGCTGATGAGCTAATCAGAAACACAGAGACCATAAAAACCGCCAAGCTCCTTTATAGTTTGCTTGCATAGGGAGTCGGTACTCTCAGAATGTCAGTATATTTTCTCCTGCTGAAGCTTTTTCTAAACTCTTTGGTGATATTTAGCCTCTTCCTCACATCCACACCTCTTTAGGAATCCACTGAAGTGAACTACGTGGCACCTGCCTCTTCTTATCACTGCTCTTTATTCTGGGCCTGTATTTATTATCACACCAAGTGCATGAACCTTCCTGGAAGCGGAGGAGGGCGTGTCTTGAATACACATCTCAGTCTACTGCAGTGCTGTAACCTGTGGCCGCTGGGAAGCTTGGTTCAAGCCACTGCCACCCACCGTGGCTTCTGAGATGCTCCTTGCATAGTGTCAGTCGGCTCGCCGTAGCCACCAGGACTAGAAATTTCCTCGTTTCTAAAATGGAAACTACAATTCTCCGCTTGTTCTGGGATACAACATGGGTGTGTAAAGATATGTATGTTTGTAGGAAACCATGGCATACCAACAGTGAACACAGTTGCTTTCCAGAGTGGTCCTGCTTAAACTCCAGGCCCCTGGGAAATCTGTGAAATGATATATAATGAACTGAATAAAATGTTTAAAATAACTTTAATAAAAAATAAAAACAGGAGCTTTTCTGTTAGGGATAGTGAATATAGAGATTCCGAAGGACCCTAAAAATTTGTTCATGTATGCCACAACTGCAGCCAGAATGGTGTTTGCCCAGAGGTGGAAAGAAGATGTTATACCAGCTAAGGAAGTATGGCTGATTAAATTGATGGATTGTGCCAAAATGGCAAAACTGACAGGTGTAATAAGAAACCAAGAGGGATTTTTTTATTTAAAAAAAAGTGAGGAAAATTTGTAGCATATTTGAAAAATTCTGGCGTACAAACAAGTTCATTAGCAGTTAAAATTGTACTAAGATAAATGGAAGAATAACTTTAAAAAGTGGAATAAAGTGGAAAATGCAGTGTTAATTTACATTAGAAAAGGAACCACAAAAGGGGTGGGGGGAGGGAAGTAAAATATTCAATTGTATTGGAGGTATGCATTTGTAAGGTGTGTATTTGTCAACTTGTGAAAAACGGAAAATAAAATTTATATAAAAAATAAATAAACAAACTCCAGGCCCCTGGGGTGAAGTTCAGGGCGGGAAAATCCTCTCCTATAAATAGGGTGTAGCGATCCAATTTTGCCTCCCCCGTACTACCTTGAAGGAATCTGTATTTCAGCGACGTGAGATTCTTGCTTGTTTCTGATTTGCAGTGAAAGAGAAGTGGCCGTAAATCACAATAAAAGCGACAAGAGGGATGCAGATGCCTGGGAATGCTTGCGCTGCAGGGTGTGACGGGTTATATTGGTGCATTGTTGCCCAGCAGCATCTCTCGATGCCATGGCAACCTTATTGGTGGGCAATATACACTGTTTTTCTAGCCGGATGGTAAACAGATGGGGGGGGGAGTTGTTGGAAGAGCTCGCAGCAAGGGTGTGTTGTAACTGGATGTTGAGCAAAGACGTGGTCATCTAAATTCTGGATTAGCAAGCAGTTATCTCTTTACTCTCTTTATTAACATACAGTGGTACCTCGAGTTGCAAACGCCTCGGGTTACAAACGCTTCAGGTTACAAACTCCGCTAACCTGGAAGAGTTACCTTGAGT